CACACAGACACACACACACACAGACACACACACACAGACACACACACACAGACACACACACACAGACACACACACACAGACACACACACACAGACACACACACAGACACACACACAGACACTCCCGCGCGCGCGCGCCTTCAGTTCCATGACTTCCAGGAGCAAGTGGAGACTACCCTGGGGACAGCTCAGGGTGCTCTGGATGGTACTGAGCACCCAAGGCAAGTGGCACCAGCTGTCAGCTACTGTACAAAACGAGACCTAGTCAGAGATGTAAGATGTTTAAAAAAAAAAAAAAAAAAGACAATCTGGTCTGTTTCTAGATTTAGTTTAAGAAAAACTTTGGAAGGGAAGGCAATCCCTCTGCCATACAGAGGAAACGACGGCCAGGGACTCTTAATGCGACTTTCCCACAGTTAATGGCAAAGCCCAGAATAAAGACACTCCACACTTGCTCTCTCAGTTAAGCCATAATGTCTACAACGACCCAAACTGTTTTTTTTTTTTTTTTTTTTTTTTTTAAGGTAGGGCCTGGTGTAGTCCAAGCTAGCCTCAAACTAGCTACACAGTCAAAGATAACCTTGAACTCCTTAGTCTGCTTCTCAAATGTGAGACTCCAGGCACACTCCACTACATGTAGGTAAATGTTTACAAGGTGACTTCTGTTCCTGGTCAATTTAGTCTATGGAAAATGCTTTGACTAAGCCACATTCCCAGCTCCAGAACCCAAACTTTCAGGATAGGGTCTTACTATGTAGCCCTGGGCTTCCTGGAATTACGATGCAGACTAGGCTGGCCTTCGCTAGAGCGATCTACCCGTCTGTGCCTCCCAAACGCTAGGGTTTAAAGGTGGGCACCTCCATATCCAGGAGACACACACTCCTAACGAACTGGAAATGGTTTCAGGTTCACATAACAGCCTGGGCTCAGTATTTTATCTCAAACTCAACCACTTTCTTTCTCAAAACCCAGCTTCCTTTACCCACCTTAGCCATTTCAGAGCACAAGACCCTAACCCATCACGCCAGATCCCAGAAGCACTAACCTTAACAAGCAAGGCTCGCATGTTGACTCCTCATTCCAAGTCCCCTGAGGTTCAAGAAGCCAAGAGAAAGCCTTAGTGCTCATGAAATGCACATGGGGAGAGGCTGTCTGGTGTGTAGGAAGTTCATATGCCCCCAAGCTGGATGGAGATCAGAAGCATTAACTGCAGGAAAACACACTGGCAGAGCTGGTTGTCCCCACCTACAACTGAAGTCAATTAGTCCACATCTCTGATGTGTAATGGTTTTGTGAGGTTCAACGCTGTAACTTCTATCTCACTGTTACTTAGGACTGGGACATGGGCGTGCTCAGCAGTGTTGAGACAAAGAATGGGGGACGAAAGCGGGTAGAGATGAGGGCAGAGTCCCGGTTAGCACGCCAAGCTTCACGCAAGCCGTGCCTGTCCTGCTGGCCCAGGCTTCCTAGATTAGCCCAAGAGAAGGCCACCTCCTCCTTAGAACCCACTCAGATGCTGGGGGCAGGGGGTCCTGCTGACTGCCAGATGTCTGGACGTGGGAGGAAGTGAGGGCGAAAGCCCAAGAAGTCAGGGATGGAAAAGAGGTCTTTCTGAAGAGGACTGGGAGACTCAAAAGCTGAGCCAAAACAAAGCCTCTGCCATAGTTCCAGCGCCGACCCCCACCCCCCCCCCCAGCCAGCCAAACCACTTGCCACAGCCTCCAGGGTACAGGAGGGAACTCGGCAAAACCACAGAGCCCACGTCTAGCAGAAACGTCCGTCAGCAGCTAGATGCGGATGAACACCCAAGTCCCTCCCCCAGCACAAGCCCAGCCAGAGGGCAACGGAGCCATGGCAGCGGTCTGCGTGCAGCCCCAGGATCCATGCACTGCGACACACAGAAGCCTCCCTCCATCCCAGCTTACAGACCCTTTCCTCTGACATCCATTCAGAGATGACCGGGGTCACCAGAGGTAGAGCTGAGCTCTGTGATTAACTCCAGCTCCTAGCAAGCATGGGGAAGCCCCCTCTCTCCATTCTCCAAGTTTAACCTCTTGGCTCGTTCCTTTCCTGTTCCAGCATGACAGGCCCACCTGTTTCCAACCTTACTACTTCTTGTAAATTATCTCAGGAGGGGACTCCTCCACCTTCCCCAGGGCAGGCAGAAGAGAACAGACAGGGATGACCAGGGGTGTGCATAGAATAGAGTCAAGGAGCAGATCCTCAATAGGGCTTTTTTTTTAAAGGCGGTCAGAAAGAGACAGAAGGCAGAGGTCCTGGGCCCAGTACCAAAATAGTTTCCAGACATCCTTAGCCAGTGGAGTGCTCCCATGAGGCAGAGCGTGGGAGCCCAAAAGCAGGACAGCCTGGTGCTCTCAGGCCTGGCCGCTCTATCCAGGCAGCTGAGGGAAGGAGGTAGCACAGGGTAGTGGGCTATGGCATATTCCCCGGAATATCGTGGGTAAATGACATGAAGCGTAATATACAGTAAACCAACAACTTGAGCTCATCAAGCTCAGCTCTATGACTGTGCCAGGCACTGTGTGCACCCACACACCAGGGTATCCCTGGCAGCACTCAGCACACAAGGAGACATAAGCATTATTTCCTCTGGCTGCTGGACACCATTCACCCTTGGGGCTTACCCCGCCTGCTCCTGTCCTGTGGGAACTTGTACACACACACACACACACACACACACACACACACACACACACACACATTCCCTTTACCCTGACCATAGGAGGAGCTCTTCTACCATGACCCGACAGAAGGTTGGGCAAAACTCTCTCATCCCCCCAACAGGACACCTGAAAAAAATCCTATTTGCAGAAGAGACAAAAGCCAAAAACAGCTCAGACCTGAGCACTAGTGGCTCCAAGGCTGAGAGGAAGCCAGGGTTCTCAGGCAGACAGCTCAACAGAAGCAAGCACAGACACATGCTCAGAACAGTGGGGATACCACACACTCCTGTCAACAGGGAAAGGGAAGAGCTGTGGGTTTTCCCAGCGCTGGAGCTGGGGTACCAGGCTGGATGCCTCCAGAAGATCTTCAGAACAGATCCCAGGGCAGCACAGTGGGTGACACAGGTTCAAAGTATACTAGCAGAGTCCAAGGAAGCAGGTCTACCAAGGAGAGCCATCACCCGGAGGCAGGCGTGGGGGGGGGGGCGCTTAAGAGAGTGAGCAGACAAGGGAGCTTCGTCTCTCCCTGAGCCCATCTGTCCCCATCCTTTGTCCTGCTTTTGTCGGAGTCCGCCTCACAATCGTAACATCTCCAGTGCCCACACTTTTGAAACAGTGTCCCCAGTGACTACAGCTCCCCCAGCCCGCAGCCGGCGGCCAAAGGAAGCGGAGGTGGGAAACTGTGGGTTCTGGCTCCCGAAAGGACAGCGAGAGCAAGAGCCAGCCAACGTGAGCTCACTGCTCTCAGCAGCGCACGCGCGCGAACAGTATCAGTATCAGGCACCTGTACTTGCCTGAGGGTCTCCCAGTCCCTCCCAGGTGACTACCAACAACTCCCAGCCTCACCAAGCATGCCAGCTCCCTCAGAGAGCTGAGGTCACCTGGCTCTTCCTGCCTAAGAAACTGTTTCTAAAGCAAAACCCATGTCCTTCCCCAAACACTTCCTTGGGAAGAGGCCAGGGACTAACCCTAGCCTTCAGATGCACGTGTCAGCCTGCCCAGGAACCCCCAACCCACACAGGAAGAGCCCCACCCTGTCAACGTCAACACCCACGGAGAGGAGATGGCAGGGTGCCATTTCCAGCACCTTCTCCCAGCTTCCCCCAGCTTTCCCAGGAAGCAGGAAAGACTAAGAGCATGCTGGGACATTCACAGCTCGCCCACCTGCTACCTAAGCAACCAGGCTCCGGGTTTCCTCTAAGTTAGGGAGAGCCCCACCGGGCCCAGCCTGCCCACCTTTCCCCATCACTTCAAGCCTCTGCTCTTGAGAGACATCCACACCGCTTTTCCTGCCCCAGTCACCCCCACCTCCCAAGTCAGAGGAGACTGCTGAGTAATTCCAGACTTAAGGTGGGCCCCCAGCCCTGTCAACTGGAGCAGACTAGAAGGAAATCTACTGATCTTGTCCTTGCCAACCTGGAAGGATTAGTCATGAGTCCTTAGTGAACAGATTCTCCATTCCCCCTACCGAATGCACCACCCCACCCTCTGAAAACCCACCTGGAGAGGCTAAGAGCCTCTTCTGCTCCCCCCACACCTGGGAACACTGCCTTCCCAGTCTCCCAGACACCAAGTGGCACAGAATACAGCAGACACCGGCTGGCTTCCCGGCCATGATGTTGCATCAGCCCCCACCCTACCCAAAATATCCTCACCCCCACCACCTCCTCTCCTCTCCAGCCATCTCCATGGTGACAGCAGCGTGACTAATGACACCCTATCAGCTTCAGACACAGGAGAGCAATCCCCCTCCTCCTTACTGTCTTTCACCCCCCCCTCCCCGCGACGCACCCCGGGGATTTCTGCAGATTGGATGCAAACCAACAGTGCCAGGGCCATTCTCCAGAGATTTCCAGAGGCAGAGGTGGGGAGTAGGTTGCACGTCTTACACACACACACACACACACACACACACACACACACAGTTCAACAAACCAAACCCCAACTGCACCCAAACCATCCAGCTGAGAAAGCAAAAAGAATCCAAACAAAACCCACACAGGCCTGAGAATTCATTGGCCGCCCACACTCCTGCCGCCCCTCCCCCTCGGCTGCTGCTACACACACACACACACACACACACACACACACACACACACACACACAGAGAGAGAGAGAGAGAGAGAGAGAGAGAGAGAGAGAGAGAGAGATTAAGGGATCGCCAGAGGACACCCTTTATTTATATCCAAACACTTCACCCCCATCGCGCGCCTTCGTACACAAGCAGGCGCGCGCGCACACACACACACACACACACACACACACACACACACGGGCGCGCGCGCGTGCACGCACAAACGCAAAGCACGCAGGGTACCTTGACAGTCGCCCCTTGTGCCCAAGGCCCCGTTCCTTCACCAGCCTTTATTTCCACCTGCAAAACAAGCCAAAGACACCGGTGAAGCAGACTGGAAGGAGGCAGGCCGCAAAGCGGTCCTGCACAGGCCCCAGCGCCCTGGAGAGGAAGGGGCCTGGGAAGAAAGGCTGGACGGGGCCGGCTTCCTGCTCCCGAGCGCCGAGCGCCGCTGGGCCCCTGCGCCTCCCAGTGTTTTGTTTTGCTGCTCGGGTCTCGGGCCTCTCAAGATCCCGGGGCCCCGCTCCCCGCCTGCAGCGCGCGGCCTCCCCTCCCCTCCCCTCCGGGCCCTGAGCTCTACCTCGGCCGGCCTCCTCTACTGCATCGGCCGCCGCCAGGCCTCCCATTATCCCCGCCGAGGGAGCGCACCGAGGGAGGCACTGCAGAGGCGGCGGCCAGCTGCCGGCTGCTCCCGCCCCGCCAGGCTGGTGTGTGCGAGGGGGCGGCGCGCGCGCCAGCCAATCCCGCGCCCGGCCCTCCCCGCTCGGGACCTGCCCAGCAGCCAGGCGGGGGCCTTGGTCGTGGAAGCCATAGCCACAAGGACTGCTACCCAGGCAGGACGGGAATCCCGGGGTACCCCCCCAACCAGGCAACCAACGCGTACAAGGCGCCCCCTGCACCACCCACGGGTGCACCTAGAGTACAGCGGAACGCAAGGGCACCCCACAGCGGCCACCCTCCAGCTTCAGTCCTCCAAGGACTCCAGGACAGGAGGAGCTTCACATTCACACACACACACACACACACACACACACACACACACACACACACGGATGCACACACACACGGACGCACACCGACACACACCCGCTCTGCAGACTGCAGATGAGTGGAGTAACTCACGGAAGGTGATGGCTAGAACACAGTGGAGCTCCAACTCCCAGCCAGGTCTGTCCCCATTCTGCAGCTCTACTGCCCTGACCTCTAGCACCCGACTCGGGAAAATGGGCTGAAGCCAGTACTTCCTGTACTCTCCTCCCTGGCACCCACCTTACCACCCTAAGATCACTCTCGATTGGTGCTGAATCACATACCTCAACCTCCCAAACCCCACTCCCCCGCCCCCGCTCCCAGACCTCAAGAGTCCCAGTCTAGTTCCCTAACTACAAGCATACCAAGGTGCAACGGCTGGCCAGAAGCCCGAAAGGGTAAAGGGGAAATAGCGAAGTCCTAGCCGCTCACATCCCTGTATTTAATTCCCAGGCACCTCTCCCGTCTATCCAACCCAGGGGAAGGTCCAGGCTTCCACCTCACGTACTTTTAGTGCCCACACATCCTGCCCCTAACCGGTGGTAACTCACCTCTCTCAGCCTCTCTTTGTTCATCTGTAGAATGGAGCCAGCAGCCATTTCATACAGCTGTGAGGCCCCCGAGAGGGCGCAGAGCCAGCTGCCTGACACAAGGTAGCCAGCTGCCTGACACAAGGTAGCCGCTGCTGCCTTGAAGTGCTCTGCATTCCTGCCAGACCTCAGGGTGCTTTCTCATTCTCACAGATGAATAAGCCGAGAGAGAGCAGTGACTCAGTGCCGAGCACGCCTCTGCTCCAGTGACTGGCTCAGTTACCCACTCCACCACGTGCATAATTGTGCCCCACCCCAGGGCCCCCAGCGAGTACCCACAACCAGAAAAGTTGCCTTAGGAGAAGGGTGACCTGCCTCTGGTGAGACAGCTTCACTTGCCTCCCCTTTGGGACAAAGGGCAGTATTACTATGTCCCTCCCAGAACAGGAAGGCAGGCAGAGGACAGGACAGGGTAAGGAGCAATGTCCTAAGTCAGGACTTCTAGGTGACTAACAGTGTTCCGGTTTTTGGTTGGTTTGGGTTTTCTGGGTATTTTGGAGGGGGGAGGGGGGACAAGAGTTTCTCTGTGTTAACAGCCTGGCTGTCCTGGAACTTGCTTTGTAGACCAGGCTGGCCTCAAACTACCGGATTGGAATCCACCTGCCTCTGTCTCCCAAGTGCTGGAATTATAGGCTTGCACCACCACCCAGCTAGCGGGTGGTGCCTTTGAACTCACATTACTGACCAGCCTAAATGAATCCTCTTGGTTCCCTAAAGCCCTGTGTTATAGACTCATGCACCCCACAGAGACAAACACAGCTTGGAAAGTATCAATTAATACTGTCACTACTATGGCTCCCACAGTGCATCAGGGAGCCCGCTACACACCAGGCCCTGTGCCAATCACCCTGTAGTAGCCTCTCATTTTTACCTACTCTACACACAGCCTTTTTTCAGAAGGAAGAGTCTTTAGGGGCGCTGAACAATTTGTCCTTCAAAACTGGTGGGCTGGAATTCAATCCCAGACCCTTCCCATCCTCTGTGACCCCCTTTCTCTGCAAGCCCAGGGAGGTAAAAAGACAGCTGGGTCACTGAACGTGACCACTTGTATCAAACAGATCTGAGAATACTACGGTTTTCACTGTCCCCAATGCTGTTTGACCCCTCCCCCGCATGCTAATGTACTGCGTGGCTGAATCCAAACAGTGCCTCCCCGCTGCCAGGTCCCCGGTCACCAAGCCTTCCCAAGCTTAGCCAGGCTCCTCCCTGCCCTCAAGAACACACAGCCTGCCTCTTCTGGAGCTCCAGTCACAGCCTAGCAGTTATTTTGTTTCCCACGTGGGTGGGGCCCTGTCTTCCTGACTTTTCTAGGCTCTACACAGAGCTGGAATGTGCTGAGTGGCCTGTGCTCTACCTCAGGTGTGTGTGTGTGTGTGTGTGTGTGTGTGTGTGTGTGTGTGTGTGTGTGTGTGTGTAAAGGGGGGTGAGCATTGAAATGGTGAGGCCCCTCTCCTGGTCAGATGAGGTCTCTAAAGCCTCCTGGAAAGGCAGGCCTACCACTGTGAACTATGGACCAGCATGTCTCTTCAGTTTACGAACTCTGGAGCGGAGTCCACGCTATCTTCCCATACTAACTGTGTCCCCCAACTTCAGGCACCCACCCTGCCCTCCAGCAGCCCCCAAGGCAGCCTACTTCCACTCTCAACCCACTCTGACATCTCACCTCTCGAGAGGCACGTGATGCCTGTCAGGTACGTCCACGCCAGGACCACTGAGCCAGGACAGCTCCTTTCCCACCTCTGAATGCCTGTCCTCCTACATGTGGGACTCCCGGCGGCCAACTCCGAGGTACTTGGGAGCCCTCTGCACGAGAGCAAAGACCCTTCCCCAATCCCCCACCTGGGCCTCCTACTCTCACTGTACTGGCTGCAGAAGTGAAGTGAGGCCACCGTGGAAGAATCACACTGATCATCTCCTATCCTCGCCTTGAGGGGCCCCGCAAAAGGGAACACAACCCGGAGCATCTTATTTATGTCTCAAAGCGAACCAACAACACGCCAGGAGTTTCCATACCCATTCCACAGACACAATAGAGTCCTGCACACCTTGCCCAGGGGCACACAGCTAGACGACACCCAGTAGGACTCTTCCGACTCTGAGCATACACAGTGCACACTCAGTCCACTGTGATAGCCCCGCAATGCTCAAATCCATCCACCTCTTCCAAAGGCGAGAAAACCAGAGACAGGCCTCTTCCCTGCCTTGTCCTGAACAAGGAACTTCTGCACAGGGTTCTTCCTTGCTCAGCTGAACCCCACTCCCTCCAGGAAGTGTCCTCTGGTCCTAAGCACTTGCCTCTGTAGATAGATGTGTCCTGCCTCCCCAACCAGAATGGCTGGCCGGAGCCCCGCCTCTCCAAAGGGGCCGGAGCCCCTCACTGACTGTGAGGGGAAACCTGTGACCTCCTTCCTCTCCATCACACAAAGGACGCTGCCAAAGAAACCTAACACCCCCCTACCCTTGGAGCCCACGTTCCCCCGTGTCCACGCATCAGTTTCCACCCAAGTAATTGCAACCCATCACACACGCATCATCCTCTATATTTGAAACCCTTTGAGGTTGTCATGGGAACTGCCTTCGCCTTCATTCACTGATCAGACCTCCCAATTAGCTTTGGCAGCGGAAGCCTGTGTCAGTCACTGGCAATCACCAGGAAGGAGTAAGCAGAAGAGCAAAGGGGGAAAGATGCTCCTCCCGGGGGCGGGGGGGGGGGGGGTATGGCGAACCGGACCGAGATGCACTGCTGTCCTGACGACAAAGAGGCAGCCCCCTCCCCCGCCCCCTCACCTCCACCGACAGACAAGGTGCACACACTGAGCCCGACAGGGGGTGCTGCTCTGCCCTAACTCCACAAGTGCTTCTCACCCTGGAACACAGAGCTTCGTGTTGTGGTGGCTGACCCTCCCCTCGTAAAACTACTGTTGCTACCTCGTAACTCACTCCGCTACTGTTAAGAATCATAATGTAAAAATCTGACATGCGACCCCAAGGGGGTTACGACCCACAGGCCGAGAGCCACCGTCCTAGATGCTTAGAAGGTGTCGTGTCTGCCGCTTCATTACTGTCTTTTGGACCGCCAAATGTCCCAGGACCCACTCAAATAACCGGAGACTAGAAGACACTACAGAACAAGGTGCAGAGTAACTCAAGCCCAGGGTGGACTGCCAGGAGTCACTAACACACGCAACCTCCCTGAAGGGTCTGTGAACACCCCTGGGTGTGCCCAGCAGCCGGCCTAAGTCTTCCCACACCTCCGCATCCCATGTCAAGCACTCCAGGCGCAGCAGACGGTACAGTCAGAGCCTCCTCTCCTCAGTCCGTCACAAGCAAACTCTCCAGACCTTCCCTTCCCAGCTGTTCTGCAAGAGGCCCAAGAGTGACCAAGGCTAGACTCTGTCCTCAAGGCACCCCTCCCTTCCAGCTTTATAACAGCATTCTGGTTCAAAAGAAAGTTTCCTTGGTCTCATGAAGGACAAAGTTAGCACTGTTACCCCTCCACTCCTGATGGGTTCCGTGCCTGGCCTGGCCCATGCCAATCCTGGCAGAGGTTTGCTGCATAAGGCTAGCTAAGGTTAAAGCATACCTGACCTTGATTCTGATAAGTGATACAGCACCAGAAAGGAGCTGTACTTCTCCAGGGAATAGGGCCATTGTAGCCCTGGGACCCAGGAAAACATTCTA